TCTCTTTCCATAAGAAACAATCAAAACAAGCAAACAATGCAAAAACCCATCATCAAACGATTAACGATAACAACAGCAATTAGAAAATAGAAAAAAAAACTATGCCTGTGTACGAGTGTCACTGTAATACAGAAAAAATGATATAAAGCCTTTCAACCAGCTACTTATATTCACTTTGAGGCTTTTTATTTCTTTGCGCTACGGAAATTTGCGCTAGATTTTATTGGTGGCATTAATGATGTTGGTATCCAATAAGCCTATAATATGGTGTGAGAAAATTAATTAATTTTGTTCACGTGGACCCTAGAAATATACAAAAAACAATATCATACATGGCGATAAGAGAATTTGTACACCCCCTCCACCGCCAAAAAAGAATCAAAAGTTTGAAACAAAAACAGCGCAGATTTCCGCTTCTCATTTCTGTAGGAAAATTTGGCTTAGAGTTAGAGCTGGGTCCAAGACACGGTAGTGAAAAATGTTTTTTTTCTGCTCGAGTGGGGGAAAATTCTACTTTTGTCGTTCAACAAATAGCCAACCTGATTGTTATCCCTAATATTCATAGCATTAATTCCTATTACCTCATTACGAGTAAAATCAGGCTACAAAAATACTCCCGCAGTTTCGTGAATAAGGATAACAATTAAACTAACACAAAAAGCATGAGACAAATAACAAAATAAATTATAAGAAAACATTAAACATTGACAAAAGCTGCTATTACTGACTTTGAAAGCACTAACTTTAATAAAGCGAAAGGTTTAAGTTAAAGCTATCCGTAAAAATCATACAGCACAAATCTGGCTAAGTGGTTATTAATCTGCTGCTGGACGTAATAAAATTGTTATTAATAATATAATGAAAGCGGAGACAAGTTAGCAAAGCAAATTACTGTCAACCACTTGTACTACATAATAATACACGGACTCTTTTAAATGAATGTCTCGCTATATTGCTGACTTTTTTTTCACACAATGCTAGTAACATATACGTTGTACAAAATACGACATATACACACCCAAGTCGCACTGCTCTGAGAACAGACACTTAAGAATTTACAGAACAACAGAAAACATGGGCAGAGAACACATGGGGAAAGAGAAGCATCTGTGTGGGAGTATTTTACAACCTGTCAGAAAACAGATGTAAGAAAGAAAGTAAAGGGGGGTGGGGTTGGGGAAAAG